AGGGTTTGGCCAGCGGTTAAGGCGCCGGACTGGGGATACTTGCTCTGATGCAGAGCTTTTTTTTTTGGGTCCAGATGTGGGCGTGGGTTCGAATCCCACCCCTGACAGAAGGTTTGAAAGAAATCTTTTTATTAAGAACTGAGTTATTTTTCTAAAATTATTTTTTCGATTTTTCCCAAATTGAATTTAAATATTTCTAATTTTTTTTTAAAAAAAAAAAAGACTTTGTATAAAAAATGGAATATACTGAATTTTTGCTGTTGGGACGTGTGTCAGGGATGGCCGAGGGTAAAAGGCGCCAGACTGAGATCTTGCCTGATGCGATTTGGGGTTTCTGGTCCAGATGTGGGCGGGGGTTTCGAACCACCCGAAGAGTTGATGAACAGAAATCTTTTTTATTAAGAATCTCGGAGTGTATTCTTCTTAAAATTACTTTAACAAGATTTTTCATTCAAATTGAATTTCAATATTTCTCTAATAATTTATTTAATAAAAAAAAGACTTTGTATAAAAAATGGAATATACTGAATTCTTTTGCTGTTGGAGACGTGTGTCAGGATGGCCGAGCGGTCTAAGGCGCCGACTCAGAAATACTTGCTCTGATGCAGGAGCTTTGGGTGTTCTGGTCCACTGATGTGGGCGTGGGTTCGAATCCCACTCCTGACAGAAGGTTGATGAACAGAAATCTTTTTTATTAAGAATCTCGGAAATGTTTTTCCCTTTAAAATTACTTTAACAAGATTTTTCATTCAAATTGAATTTAAATATTTCTAATTTATTTAAAAAAAAAAAGATTTTGTATACAAAAATGGAATATACTGAATTCTTTTGCTGTTGGAGACGTGTGTCAGGATGGCCGAGCGGTCTAAGGCGCCAGACTCAAGTAGATACTTGCTCTGATGCAGAGCTTTGGGTGTTCTGGTCCACTGATGTGGGCGTGGGTTCGAATCCCACTCCTGACAGAAGGTTGATGAACAGAAATCTTTATTAAGAATCTCGGAGTGTATTCTTCCTAAAATTACTTTAACAAGATTTTTCATTCAAATTGAATTTAAATATTCTAATTTATTTAAAAAAAAAAAAGACTTTGTATAAAAAAATGGAATATACTGAATTCTTTTGCTGTTGGAGACGTGTGTCAGGATGGCCGAGCGGTCTAAGGCGCCAGACTCAAGTAGATACTTGCTCTGATGCAGAGCTTTGGGTGTTCTGGTCCACTGATGTGGGCGTGGGTTCGAATCCCACTCCTGACAGAAGGTTGATGAAAGAAATCTTTTTTATTAAGAATCTTGAGTATATTCTTCCTAAAAATTACTTTAACAAGATTTTTCATTCAAATTGAATTTAAATATTTCTAATTTTATTTAATAAAAAAAAATGACTTTGTATACAAAAATGGAAATACTGAATTCTTTTGTTGGAGACGTTTTCAGGATGGCCGAGCGGTCTAAAGGCGAGACTCAGTAGATACTTGCTCTGATGCAGAGCTTTGGGTGTTCTGGTCCACTGATGTGGGCGTGGGTTCGAATCCCACTCCTGACAGAAGGTTGATGAACAGAAATCTTTTTTATTAAGAATCTCGGAGTGTATTCTTCTTAAAATTACTTTAAAAGGTTTTTCATTCAAATTGAATTTAAATATTTCTAATTTTTTATTAAAAAAGACTTTTAAAAAAAAATGGAATATACTGAATTTTTTGTTGGAGACGTGTGTCAGGATGGCCGAGCGGTCCTAAAGGCGCCAGACTAGTAGATACTTGCTCTGATGCAGAGCTTTGGTTTCTGGTCCACTGATGTGGGGTGGGTTCGAATCCCACCCTGACAAAAAGGTTGATGAAAGAAATCTTTTTTATTAAGAATCTCGGAGTGTATTCTTCCTAAAATTACTTTAACAAGATTTTTCATTCAAATTGAATTTAAATATTTCTAATTTTATTTAATAAAAAAATGACTTTGTATACAAAAATGGAATATACTGAATTCTTTTGCTGTTGGAGACGTGTGTCAGGATGGCCGAGCGGTCTAAGGCGCCAGACTCAAGTAGATACTTGCTCTGATGCAGAGCTTTGGGTGTTCTGGTCCACTGATGTGGGCGTGGGTTCGAATCCACTCCTGACAGAAGGTTGATGAACAGAAATCTTTTTTATTAAGAATCTCGGAGTGTATTCTTCCTAAAATTACTTTAACAAGATTTTTCATTCAAATTGAATTTAAATTTTCTTTTTTTTTTTTAATAAAAAAAAAAAAAAAAGACTTTGTATAAAAAAATGGAATATACTGAATTCTTTTGCTGTTGGAGACGTGTGTCAGGATGGCCGAGCGGTCTAAGGCGCCAGACTCAAGTAGATACTTGCTCTGATGCAGAGCTTTGGGTGTTCTGGTCCACTGATGTGGGCGTGGGTTCGAATCCCACTCCTGACAGAAGGTTGATGAACAGAAATCTTTTTTATTAAGAATCTCGGAGTATATTCTTCCTAAAATTACTTTAACAAGATTTTTCATTCAAATTGAATTTAAATACTTCTAATTTTATTTAAAAAAAAAAAAATGACTTTTATAAAAAATGGAATATACTAATTCTTTTGCTGTTGGAGACGTGTGTCAGGATGGCCGAGCGGTCTAAGGCGCCAGACTCAAGTAGATACTTGCTCTGATGCAGAGCTTTGGTGTTCTGGTCCACTGATGTGGGCGTGGGTTCGAATCCCACTCCTGACAAAAGGTTGATGAACAGAAAAAAAAAAAAAAAAAAAAAAAAAAAAAAAAAAAAAAAAAAAAAAAAAAAAAAAAAAAAAAAAAAAAAAAAAAAAAAAAAAAAAAAAAAAAAAAAAAAAAAAAAAAAAAAAAAAAAAAAAAAAAAAAAAAAAAAAAAAAAAAAAAAAAAAAAAAAAAAAAAAAAAAAAAAAAAAAAAAAAAAAAAAAAAAAAAAAAAAAAAAAAAAAAAAAAAAAAAAAAAAAAAAAAAAAAAAAAAAAAAAAAAAAAAAAAAAAAAAAAAAAAAAAAAAAAAAAAAAAAAAAAAAAAAAAAAAAAAAAAAAAAAAAAAAAAAAAAAAAAAAAAAAAAAAAAAAAAAAAAAAAAAAAAAAAAAAAAAAAAAAAAAAAAAAAAAAAAAAAAAAAAAAAAAAAAAAAAAAAAAAAAAAAAAAAAAAAAAAAAAAAAAAAAAAAAAAAAAAAAAAAACAAAAAAAATGGAATATACTGAATTTTTTTTTTGGGAGACGTGTGTCAGGGGGCCCGAGGGTCAAAGGGGCCCCAACCTTGATACTTGTTCGATGCAGATTTTTTTGTGTTCTGGCCATGATGGGGCGGGGTTCGAATCCCCCCCCACGAAGGGTAAAAGAAATCTTTTTTTTAAGTTTTTTAATTTTTTTTTTTTAAAAAACCCAAATTAATTTAAAATTTTTTAAATTTATTTAATAAAAAAAAAAAAAAATTTGTATAAAAATGGAATTTTAAAATTCTTTTTGTGTTAGATGGTCAGGATGGCCGAGGGCCTAAGGCCCCGCCCTGGGTAGATATTTTCTCTGATGCGGGTTTTGGGTGTTCTTACTGATGTGGGGGGTTCGAATCCCCCCCCTGACAGAAGGTTGATGAAAGAAATCTTTTTTTTTTTTATTCCCTAAAAATTTTACAAATTTTTTTCAAATTAATTAAATATTTTAAATTTTTTTAAAAAAAAAATGATTTTGTTAAAAATGGGAAATCAAATTCTTTTTTTTGGGAAGTGTTCATGGCCGAGCGGGGGGGCCCCTGTGGCCCCTTTGGGGGGGTTGTTTTTCCCCGTTTGGGGGGGGGTTGGAATCTTTTTGACAAAAGGTTTAAAAAAATTTTTTAAAGTTTTATTTTCTTCCCCAAAATTATTTCAAATTTTTTTAAAATTAATTTTAAAAAATTTTTTAAAAAAAAAAATGATTTGTTAAAAATGGAATCCCAAATTTTTTGGGCGTTGGAACGGGGTTCGGATGCCGGGGTTTTGGGTTTTTTAGAGCTTGTTGATCAACGGGGGGTATGAGGGGCTTTTGAATCCCCCCCCGGAAATTGAAAAAAATTTTTTTTTAAAATTTTCAATATTTTCCCCTAAAATTATTTTAAAAATTTTTTTTTAAAAAATTTGAATTAAATTTTTTTTTTTTTAAAAAAAGTTTTGGCCGGGGGGAAATATTTTTTTTTTGGGGTTGGGGTGTGTCGGGGGCCGGGGTCAACCCAAACTCGAAAATTTGTTGAGAATTTTGTTCGGGGATGATTTTTTAATTTTTCCCTACAAAAATTTTAAAAAATTTTTTAAAAATTCAATTTTTTTAAAAAAAATTTTTAAAAATTTTTTTAAAAAAAATTTTTTTTAAAATTTTTTTTTTTAAAAAAAAAAAAATTTTTTAAAAAAAAAAATAAATAACTTTTTTTTTCTGTGGGGGGTTCCCAAGGGGGCCGAGGGTTTTAAGGGCCCCCCAAAATTTTGTTATCCTTTTTTTTTCAGATTCTTTAAACCCCCACCCTAAAATTATAAAAAACTTTTTAAAAAAATAAAAATTCCTTTACTTTTAAAAAGTTTTTTCATTCCTTAAAATAATTTTATTTTTTAATAAAAATGTTTTTAAAAAAAAAATTTAAAAATTTTTTCCCCTTTGGAGGTGTAGATTTTTTTTTGGGGGGCCCTTAGAATTTTCTTATAAGTTTTTTCCAAGGGGGGTTTCAATTTTTAAAAAAAGTTTGAAAAAATTTTTTAAAAAATTGGGTGACTTTTTAAAATTACTTTAAAAGGTTTTTCATTCAAATTGAATTTAAATATTTCTAATTTTTATTTAATAAAAAAAAAATGACTTTGTATACAAAAATGGAATATACTGAATTCTTTTGCTGTTGGAGACGTGTGTCAGGATGGCCGAGCGGTCTAAGGCGCCAGACTCAAGTAGATACTTGCTCTGATGCAGAGCTTTGGGTGTTCTGGTCCACTGATGTGGGCGTGGGTTCGAATCCCACTCCTGACAGAAGGTTGATGAACAGAAATCTTTTTTATTAAGAATCTCGGAGTATATTCTTCCTAAAATACTTTAACAAGATTTTCATTCCAAATTGAATTTGACTATTACTGATTTATTTAATAAAGAAAGGCTTTGTATAAAAATGGAATATACTGAATTCTTTTGCTGTTGGAGACGTGTGTCAGGATGGCCGAGCGGTCTGAGGTGCCAGACTCAAGTAGATACTTGCTCTGATGCAGAGATTTGGGTGTTCTGAGGATGTCACTGATGTGGGCGTGGGTTCGAATCCCACTCCTGACAGAAGGTTGATGAACAGAAATCTTTTTTATTAAGAATCTCGGAGTATATTCTTCCTAAAATTACTTTAACAAGATTTTTCATTCAAATTGAATTTGAATATTACTAATTTATTTAATAAAAAAGACTTTGTATAAAAAAATGGAATATACTGAATTCTTTTGCTGTTGGGGCGGTATTGTCACGATGGCCGAAGCGGTCTACAAGGCGCGAACTCAAGTAGATACTTGCTCTGATGCAGAGCTTTGGGTGTTCTGGTCCACTGATGTGGGCGTGGGTTCGAATCCCACTCCTGACAGAAGGTTGATGAACAGAAATCTTTTTTATTAAGAATCTCGGAGTATATTCTTCCTAAAATTACTTTAACAAGATTTTTCATTCACAAATTGAATTTAAATATTTCTAATTTATTTAATAAAAAAAAATGACTTTGTATAAAAATGGAATATACTGAATTCTTTTGCTGTTGGAGACGTGTGTCAGGATGGCCGAGCGGTCTAAGGCGCCAGACTCAAGTAGATACTTGCTCTGATGCAGGGAGGCTTTGGGTGTTAGAGTGTCCGCTGATGTGGGCGTGGGTTCGAATCCCACTCCTGACAGAAGGTTAATGAACAGAAATTTTTTATTAAGAATCTCGGAGTGTATTCTTCTTAAAATTACTTTAACAAAATTTTTCATTGAAATTGAATTTAAATATTTCTAATTTATTGAATAAAAATTAAAAAAATGACTTTGTATAAAAAAATGAAATATACTGAATTATTTTTCATTTGGAGACGTGTGTCAGGATGGCCGAGAGTGGTCTAAAGCGCCAGACTCAATTAGATACTTACTCTGATTCAAGAACTTGAGGTTTTCCTGGTCCTGAATGTGGTCGTGGAGTTTGAATTCCACTCTAACTGAGGGTGTGCGCATCATTCTTTTTTGATGGGAATCTTGGAAGTGTATTCTGCTTAAATCTACTTTAACAAGACTTTTGTGTGTTTTAAATTTTCTATAAAAAGTTTTTATTTTATTGAACAAATTAAGATGCTGGTCCAAGGTTAAGTTCTTTGGAACATACAGTTTGTGGAACTTACTTTTCGGTTTTGGACTGCGCAGGAAATGTCCCCATTGGGAGCCTCGGTTTTTACCATGTGTCATTACTAACTGCTGCACCTAGGTGGGTTCAGAAAAGTGGGAATATGACCAAGAATAAGTGGAAAGAGATTTTCGTGGCTGGATGAATCCCTATTTCTTATTTATCACGTTGATTTTTATGATAGGGTGTGCTTTTCTATGAGCATTTCTCAAATTATCTTCTGGGAATTGACAAGATTACGTTTGATGATGAGATTGGGACAATTAAAAGTGGCTTAACCCCATCTACAAGCTCACTTTTACTCTCATTTTGGAGAGTTATTTATATTCTCACACACTCAGTTAGCAATTCTGGCAATTGCTAAAGGCTTACAATACTTTTTTATCTATAATGCAGTGTAGATTCCTACTACTAGAGATACATGAAGTGCATAAAATCGTCATTTTGCTCTGTGGATTCCTTTTCGTACGGTAATAGAGAAATGCAGATAAACAGCAAAAAGGTATAAGTGTGCATTGACAAAATTCAATATAGCCTTCAAGGCTAAGCAACTGACACAACTAAAACAAAGAACAAGAGATAAACTCTGGTAGAGTGACCTCTATAATATCCCAAACTACCACCGAATCAGCCCCGTAGCTGCCTAGCTACCAGGGGCGTGATTACCACCGTATCAATGATACGGGGTCCCCAAGATACGGGGGCCTCAACATGTGTAACTACAATACTACTAAAGGCCGTATCCCACGTACATTTTCCATGCAACTGTTTAGTCCAATTTTTGGCCTAATCTGAGGGGGAAGGGTTGCCGTAAACAAAACGACATGCTCTGACGTCAGCCGCACTAACTCTACATTGAAAAATTACTCGCCGATTTTTCAGCTTCGGAAAACGAGCATCCAAAATTATTTCTTTTATTTCGCTTGCGCTTTTGTTGATGATTGTAAGCAGAAAAGGAACACCATCCTATTTAAAATATTGTACGCCGTTAAAATATTATACACCATTAAAATATTATACGGCGTATCTGATGTGTTAGACGAAATCGAAGCCGCCATCTTGTTTATGATGCAGGGCGCCGAAGAGCCCCATTTGCTGGAATTTCAAGCAATTTAGCAAGCCGTTGCTATGGCAACTGAGTAAAAATTACACGAAAAATTGCTTGAAACGTGTACGTGTGATACGGCATTTACAAGGTTTTCATTTCTGAAAAAGGGCCCCGAAGGAGTTTTGATACGGGGCCCATTCAAAACTAGCTACGCCAGTGCTAGCTATATACAGTTACACCATGGATTCTGAGCGTGGGCGATAACGCCCCCTTGTGGGCGTTTGAGGCTTTCAGGGGGGCAGTAAAAGACCCAGAGAAAATAAAGAGGCCTTCAGATGGCACGGAGGGGCTTCGGCAGATTAACCAAATATAGTCTAAAAAAAGACTAAAAAGAAAAACACGCTGATTATGTACTAACAAAAGTAAACCGTGACACCGGATACCTTATGTTGATTGCATCTTTTTAAATCATTTGTATCACGTGTAAGAAAATTCACATATTTCGGTAGTTCGGAAAGTAGATGAAAAACTTAGATTACATTACATTCAGACCTACATTATACAATATTGAATGGTATAGTAAATTTTAATTTATGTAGTATACGTGTTGTTCGTCTGTGAGCAGTAGGAAAAATGTTTCGTCCACTACATTTCATTACGTATATTATCCAAGAGATATAATTAAATACGTTAACTATAGGAATTAATGTGTGATCCTTTAAAAGCTAAAAGTGTCAATTTTTTTATTTTTATTTTGAAAGCAATAGTTTATATATTGTGAATTACTTCATATCATCAAAACCTTCTTTCAAAAACGTCTTTATAACAGGTATAAGCTAAAACTTTTATTCCACTCTGAAAAAAAATTCATTAGTGTTTTAAAATTCCCCAACAATATCCTATCTAAAACTAAAATATATAATATTACACGTTTAAATATATTTTTAAAAATAGTTATTTCAGATTTGCATGTAAAAAAAAAAATTTGGTACTCTTAAAAAAAAAAATTAAATTAAAAAATATGTTCTTTAGTAATAGCATATTTTTTTAAAATTAATTTTTTTTTCATCATGTTTATGTACATTCTTATTTCTCTAGAACAGGAGGACGGTATCAATATTCACTAGAAAAGGGGCTCCAGTTAAAAAAGGTTAACCTATGAGCTGAACAGACATAGATAATATAATAAGGTTCAGTCCTAGGAGGCCCCACACCCTTGTGACATCTCTCGCGTTCTTCTTCTAACTAACTCCTACGTTCTTTGACGGCCACGATTAATGGCAAAACTTTTCAACCCAATTCCAAGAGGAAAAACGAAGCAACAATGCAAATAAGATATCCTTTAAAAAGGATAGAAGTTTAGTGAGAACGAATGGCAATCTTAAGAAAGCTTAGTGTGGATCAAGTGGAAGTGAGTTAGACGGCTACTCAATCACGGAGACACCCACCTTGTTAATAATTACAAGAGGAAGGATTACGCGAACAATAAGTCTACCTGCAAGAAATCAAAATCGTCGAGTCTTAAACCCAAAGGTAGGAAGATTATATTAAGCTAGTATAATATAGAAAGCGAGATTAGGCAGATAATTAATTATATTTTGATAAGTGATCTAGTTGTGCGATCTGGACTTAAATAATCGGCATACTTTGTGGTTTTTATTCTCACTAATATAAGGTTGTTCTTATATAATTAGTTAAATTCTTTAAAAAAAGTTGTATTAAGAGTTATAGAATTCTCATCCTTCCGATAATCCCACCTCTAACTTACGCGGACCCACCCACGTCATAGCTATCGACAGATGGTTTTTGTCACACCCTTAGCACAATTATTTTGGTTTGAGATAATTGCCATCTTCGTAACCTACTTTGATAAAAATAGATAAGGTAAAAAACCCATTTCTGGAATTTTCGTATTGTCGGCGAGCAATTCGAATTTTTTTTTTGTTATTGGACACCGGGATGGAAAGTATGTCTAAAGAGTGTGTGTGTGATATACCTTAGAATTTTTACTTGTTGAATGTGAAGGAAGAAGAATAGATTGAATGGTGTATGAAGGAAGGATTAATTGCTTCGAGTTATGAATGTCCTAAATGTAATGAGCGAATGGGATTTTACAAATGAAAGAGTGCGTTTTAGATGGATTGAATGGAGAATATATATGGCGGCTCACACGATCATTTGCTTAGTGATGAGACCTTAAGGACATTTTTAAAATCCGTTATTACGCTGTACCCTCCACTTCGAAAAGATCACTAGTAAGAAAGTAAGTGCTGTTTTTTTATCAAATGTTTAATTTCAGTTTGGTTACATATATTTTCATTACGCATCCACCTTATCCCGCTATATTCACTTGCCGCCATAGCCGTTTTGTTTGGCGCCATCTCGTTCTCCCTTTGGGGCTATTTTTGGTTTGTCGCCAATGGTGTGGGCTCTCCTAGGATTTTACCTATAATAATTATAATGCAATGATCAAATAATAATTCATTTAAATAATAAGATATATGTGTGTTTTCTCAAGTAGTTTTTGTAAATCGATCTCAACGCGTGTATTACCGCATCGAAATTGATAATGATTGTTTGATAAGTTTCGTTTTGGAAAAGAATGATTCGTAGTTGTATTCGTTGAAAAAGTCATAGGAATCAAGTGTGATGCTGCGGGGACTCGCTGAAATGCAATACTGACCGATTCTAAGTACCTAACAAGGAGAGGGCACGACTAAGGAAATTCATTTGGGATCGAGACTTGGTGTAATAGGAGTACTCCTTTAGGGTGTTCACCCCTCAATGTAATTCCGTCGAATGGACAGTCAATTCGGAGAAATCATTCTTCGAAATTCCTGCTCAGCTTTTATGCATTAAATTTTAATTTTCCGCAACGAGTTCGTATCTTGATTGGTAAATCGTCTGCCTACTATGCGCGAAGTCAGGGTTCGATTCCATGCGCTATCAACCTTTTTTTTTTATTCAATTAATTTAATTATTTTTTAAAATTAAATAAATTTATTTATGAAAGGTTTATTAAATATTAAATGATATTTTAGTAATTATATTTTGTATTTTATAAAGTAAAAATTACTGTAATATATATATAAATAATTATATTAAATTTTATGAATATATTTTATATTAATAAATAATATTTATAACAAAATATATAATAAATATTAAATGATATTTTACAAAAAATTAATTACAAATAATTTTTATAATGTGAAGTACAATATATATACTATAAGTAAACTATTATACATAATACAAAATAATTTATAAAATACATTATTATTATTAAACTAATTATTTTATAATTAATATAATAAAAAATATGTATCTTTATATATTTTAATTTAATTATTTTATAATTTTAAAAAAATTAATGAGTCCTTTACACAAATAAATTTATTTAATTTCGAAAAGTTTATTCAAATAATTTTAATAAATTTATTTAAGCAATTTATGTAATAAGTTAATAA